CAAAGAGAAAGGAAAAATTGAAATCGCATCATATGACCCCTTTAAGATATGCGTACACAAACAGTTCTCCCGCGGGACATGAGCTAATTAGTTGCAATGACCAGGCATAGTATTGTTTTAATCCCTGACACTGTTGTGTTATTAGTGCTGATTAAGTTAATACTTAAAGGGGTCATATGATGCGATTTCAAGTTTTCCTTTCTCTTTGGTGTGTGTTTCTAGGCGAAAGCAGAAACACTTTATTTGGCCTTCCGAAAGTAGATGTATTTAGGAATCTTTAAGATTACTTACAACAGAACAGCAATGCATTTTATGGACGACCGTTTCGTGAACCTAGGAAATAAAAAGTGACCTTGAAGGTCACTCATACTATGAAAGCGAGTTTATGTGGAATAAATTGGTAAAAGTTTAAAAGGCATGTGATTTTAAAGTTTTATATGGTATGTATGCCCACAATTTAAACCCAACTGTGTCAGTGTATCAATATGGGTCTCGTGACACGTTTTTCTAACACATTTGTGAAAATATATGTAGCCGTTTTGACCGACCAATGAGGGAGTCGCTTTTGACGTCAACTACACACTGGCACACCTCCGTGTCATCGCGCCTGTTTAATTATTCACGAGAAGAGAGCGCAACAAACCTATCCGCATCCAAAAAACCAGTGTATCGTGTGAATATTAAAACACACTCTCCTGTAACTAACTGGAAAATTGGGTCAAACACAGAAGTAGAGTCTGAAAAGAAAGGGTGTAAACTGATTTCAGATTAGATTTTTTAGCACATAAGGTATTGAAGACATTATTATCATTTTCCTGATTTAACTAAGTTAACGTTAGGGATTTCAAGTTATCTTTAAAGTTACGCTATTCTTACGCGCGGTACGACAGCATCGGTCAAAATGGACGTGGACCCTGTTTCCGTCTCAATAGACGCGGGCTCTGATGCGCCTTCTCCTGCCTTTCCAGTAGTTTTAAAGAAAATCATGGAAATTCCGCCACCGAATCTTCTCGAAGGCGATGACGGTAAGTGGCTCTGCACCAGTCGCGCTTGTGGCTGCGCAGAGGCTTGCTGTCTGTGCTTGCTCTATCGCCGAATTATTGTCGAATGCATCGTGTATGTTAATATAAAACAGACCAGGACACTTTTCTCGTTGTGTAAATATAGAACGTGTTTATTTGTGTTATTTATAACATGGTTCACGGGCCTTAATGTTTTGCATTCTAGCGAAAAACTGGATCGAACTAGTGACGTCCGCTTCGTGAATGAATCGGTTTTTTTTATCCGGTTATTTGAACGAAACTCTTTGCAAGAACCGATTATTCCAGTCACAAGATGAAACTGATACTTTGTTTCTTTTTCCAAATGGGCACTTCTAAATCTTAATAGACTTTTATTACTGATAGAACGTACCAGTCACATTGTTAATTTGATTTTTTTAAGGTGAATTTATTCTGTTGACCATTGCTAGTCTGCCTAATGTAAATTACGTGTAGATTTGGAATTTGAACAAAACATTACTGTGTTTTTATATGACAGAAAATGATAAAGAGAAAATCTTTGAGGATGTGGACTCTGAAGGGGTCAGTGGAATGGGACCATCAGCTGCCTTAACACCTGCCATCTGGGAAAAGACCATTCCCTATGATGGCGAGACCTTCCACCTGGAATACATGGATCTGGAGGAGTTTCTCATGGAGAATGGCATTCTTGCCGCAGGGGATGAGGGTCTGCAAAAGAATCTTGCGAAAGAAAACGCACAACTGACAACTAAAATATCATCCACAACCTCTACAAGCAAGACAGCCCCAGCAATCTCTCTTATGCCAGTCATGGAACTGGATCAGTGTGAGGAGGAAGTGGTCACAATCACGGAATTCAGCTCTAGCTCAACAGACACCGAATCAGGTCAGCAGAGAAAACAGAACATAGTGTACTTTCTGTCACAACACACTTAATCCATTACACAGTCAAGCTTTTTATCATGAAGATCTGACTTAAAGACTCAACAACAATTAAGTGATATTTAAACACATTCAGTTGAAACAGCAAAAATGTCTGAAACTAATGAAACTACTAGAATTTGATTTAATTTCATTACTGGAATTTACTAATTCACCACAGATGAGGAGCGTGTGACGCCAGAGCCCATTAATCCAGATGTTATCGAGGTAGAGGTCCCCTATGAGCCAGATCCCACAGACCTTGTGCTGTCCAGCATACCCGGAGGTGAACTGTTCGACCCTCGCAAACATCGTTTCTCCGAGGAGGAGCTGAAGCCTCAGCCTATGATCAAGAAAGCAAAGAAAGTGTTTGTGCCTGAGGAACATAAGGTAAACACACAGTCGAACCTGTATACACATTTAAAAAATAACTGGTAAAAATGACCAAAAAAAACACACAAAAAATTACTAAAACTAACTAAAAGTGTAAACTGAAAATAAAATATAAAAAATAAAAACGTATTTAAAATATGTGACCCTGGACCACAAAACCAGTCTTAAGTCGATTGGGTATATTTTTAGCAATAGCCAAAAAAAACATTGTATGGGTCAAAATTATCGATTTCTCTTTTATGCCAAAAATCATTAGGATATTAAGTAAAGATCATGTTCCATGAAGATATTTTGTAAATTTCCTACCGTGAATATATCAAAACTTAATTTTTGATTAGTAATAAGCATGGCTAAGAACTTCATTTGGACAACTTTAAAGGCGATTTTCTCAGTATTTAGATTTTTTTTGCACCCTCATATTCCAGATTTTCAAATAGTTGTATCTCGGCCAAATATTGTCCTATCCTAACAAACCATACATCAATGGAAAGCTTATTTATTCAGCTTTCAGATGAAGTATAAATCTCAATTTCAAAAAATTTACCCATCTCAAAAACACTAAAATAGCACTGACTTAAATATGACCTTAATATTGTATAACATTTCACTTAACGTGATAGTTAACCCAAAAATGAAAATTCTGTCATTAATTACTCACCCTCATGTCGTTCCAAACCTGTAAGACCTTCGTTCATTTTCAAAACAAAAATGAAGATATTTCTGATGAAATCCGAGAGCTTTCTGACCCTGCGTAGACAGCAATGGTACTACCACATTCCAGGCCCAGAAAGGAAGTAAGGACATCGTTGAAATAGTCCATGTGACATCAGTGGTTCAACCATAATTTAATGAAACTACGAGAATACTTGTTGTGCGCAAAGAAAACAAAATAACAACTTTATTCAACAATGTCTTCTCTACGGTGTCAGTCTTCGATGCGCGCTCACTAGAGTACCACGACGCATGCGTGTGGTGCTGCTGACGCAGGAGCCGGTGTTCTGACGTAGTTTACAGGCAGAGGAATGCACACGCATGCATCGTGGTACTCGTGAACGCGCATCAAAGACTGACACCGTAGAGAAGACATTGTTGAATAAAGTCGTTATTTTGTTTTCTTTGCGCACAACAAGTATTCTCGTAGTTTCATAAAATTACAGATGAGCCACTGATGTCACATGGACTATTTTAATAATGTCCTTACTACCTTTCTGGGCCTTGAACGTGTCAGTTGTGTTGCCGTCTATGCAGGGACAGAAAGCTCTCGGATTTCATCAAAATATCTTAATTTGTGTTTCAAAGATGAACAAAGGTCGCACAGGTTTGGAACGACATGAGGGCGAGTAATTAATGACGGAATTTTCATTTTTGGTGAACTATCGCTTTAACTCTGACCAACAAAGGCAAGCAAATGTTTATGCCTGAAGCTCAAAACTTACATTATACAGTTACACCCTAAACGTAAAGACACAATGAGATATTCTTAAGTCTTTGTCAACAAATACGTGAATATGTGTTATGTAAAAAGATATTAACAGTTGTATTTTCTAACAACACAGGGTCATTATCAAAATAGAGAGAGAAAAAATCTTGTTCCCCAACATTTGATTTTATGTCCACTCACTATTTCAGGACGAGAAATACTGGCAGCGGAGGAAGAAGAACAACATTGCAGCCAAACGTTCACGAGATGCCAGGCGCCTAAAAGAGAATCAGATCACAGTACGAGCAGCCTTTCTGGAGCGAGAGAACTCCGCTTTGAGACAGGAAGTGGCAGAGTTGCGCAAGGACTTTGGGCACTTCAAGAACGTTGTGGCACGCTATGAAGCCAAATACGGACCGCTGTAAGGGACAAACGTGCATGCATATAAACACATAATCGAAACAGCCCCACTCAAGTTAAAACACAGCAACTCTTAAAGGTGAAGTAGTACTGTAAAAAATGTGGTGATTAACAACCTTTTCTCTTCTTTTTCAAGTGCACCGGCTGAAGACTTCTAAACAATTATTGATTTATTTGCATTTATGAAAGGCAATAAATTAATAATGGTGTGGAATGAAGAGGAGAAAACAGGAGATAAATGAATATATGATTCAAACTGTAGAGCTAAGTGATATTCATGTTTTTAAAAAATCCTGTCAAGCACTATTATCAACATGTCCCCTTCATTTTAATCTTACTTCAGTTCAAAAGCACACCCATGTATATCCAATAGAGCTTTTAAAGTCTTTTTTTTTTTTGTAATGGACCAAGGTAAAAGAGTTCTTCCCTCTCTTGTTCTTGTTTTATGGCAAGTTTTATAATATCAAAGTAGTTTTAGGAAATGTTTATTGGATGTCATTGGTCTTTATTCATAAAGAATGACTGGCATTGACTTCAATATACTTTCTTATATATCTTTAGCATGTTTATCTTTGACTTCTCTGAAAAATTACATTAATTCTAAGAATTCCTTTGGCAAATTTGGTACAGGGTACCAAGTGGTGCATTTTGCCTGCAAAAGTAGAAACAAGATGCCATTATTGAAACACGGGGCGAATGTATCACATTAATAATGTATCATTACAGATAACTGTTAAAACGGAAACAAAACTGTAAGCAGGAAATGTATCATGTTTTGTGCTGCAAAATACATAATGCTTTTTGTCTTACTGTCAGCAAGTGCTGGAATTATGTGCTCTGTACATCTGCGAAACTTAAAAAAAATATTTAGATCTGGTTTACATTTAGTGTCTTTCATAATAACGTGAGTACATTCTCTAAAATCATACCTTGTTTACTTCACCATGGTCATTTGCCCTTTATGGGACTCATGGAGGTCAGTTTATGTACAGAAATAACACTGTACATGTGACGGATCTTGTATCTGCTTAGAACTTAGAAAAACAAATGAAGTGCCGTTATAGTTTTTCATATGTATCATATGATGTATATTTTTTCAGATAGCTTCAAATATTTTACAAAAATGGCTTTGCAGTGTGAACTACACCATTCATAGATCAGAGTCCATATGAATCCGTAAATGACTTCAGCAGAGCGCTTGTTTATATAGGGTGCATAGTGTGTTACATATCACAAACCACTTGATTAAAGAAAAGAAAGAAGGCAGAGTCAAGTTTCACAAACAGTCAATATCGTGTTATCCGTTCATTGTGTGAAGTGGAAATTAGGCTGACTTTTATTACAAAGTTTAATTTTGCAGTACTCGCATGATGTGACCACATTTGCCCATTTTCAGGTGTTTTGTGGAGAGGGAATCTCATATGTAATAATGCAATCTTGACCAAAGCTAACTTTGAACACTGAAAAACACAGAACGACTCCAAATAAATCAGGTGTTTAAACTTTGCATATTTGTGGTCTGTAGGCGCTTTTTAAAAGTGCACCTACGGTTTGTCATTTCTCCTTGAGCATCCTTTCTGATGAGTGTGAAATGTGAGATGAGGGACAAGACAATAAAATGGAACCGAGTTTGATGGCTGTTCTGAAAGGAATAGTTACTGTTCCTGGCAAGAAGCATTTCTTCTGTTGAACTAGAAGAAACTCAGTTGCATGAGTTTGAGATGCCAATTTTGTTGCAGTAACAAATCTGTTTTGTCAGATTTGAATGTTTTTCAAATTGTTACTGTTCTTTTGGGAGGAATGAATTCTCTTTGCAAGTCTTATGAAGGTTTTTTTTAATTTATTTTTTTTACTTGTAGATATTGTCTCGGCATCTTGTTGTCAGATGTTTTGTGTTGCACATATTAAAGAATTCAAAAATGTGCCTTGCTTGCATGTCCTGCATTTATAACAATACGCAACAGTGTATTTGATCACAAAATGCTTTGATGCCTCAGAGAATTATGACTGAATCTCAAATTTCAGATGGGAGAGGAGCGTTGTGTAACACAGACAGATGCCAAAAAAAACTAAATAACACCGGGTGGGGCTAAAGAAGGCAGTGTGATATGCAGATAGACTAAGCTGAACCAAACAAACTCCAGTCTTAAAAAGAATGCAGCCATTCGTGGAGGTTTTCTTCAGAAGTGATCACATTTCATTTAGGATTACCTAACATTTATTGAATTACAATTCCCAAAAGGTTTTGACCAGAATATGCCTAGCAAGCCTATACAATCTCAAAATCACATATCACATTCCTTTACTTAAATGGGCCAAGGCACACATTTAAGAGCAAATCAGAGCAAATGCAAGCTAAAAATAAGTTTTATTCAATATATACATGTTGGAGCTTGGTTTATGTTGATACATATGAATTTGACGATTGATCAATATTGGATTTTGCTGATACAATAATGTGTTTAAAGAGGCAATAAGAAGATTGTGTTTATACTAGTAAAATCTATATTTGGAATGTCTTTCCTTCCTGTGACATTGTGCCCCTGAGAGAAGCCACAAGAGCTACATCGAATTAAAACACCGGATACAGTTTGTGTAGCCAAAACACCAATAATGCCCAGAACGATTTGATGCATAATGCTGGACTTTTAATTATAAATAAGCCCAGGTCTCTCATCTTGAAATCTCTATAATACTTCCAGCTGCTAAGTCCAAAAGTTGATAGAGATAAAACATTCATTCTTACAAGCATCTAATCATCTAATAATGAAAAAATGTAAAGGTTGTCAATAGCCAGGTAAATACTAGAAGCCTGCAGGTTATAAGTATGCAGTATTAGAAGTATCAAAATCAAACAGAACAGCATAATCAACATCACAGCATTAAAAAATGTATTGTAACAACGTGATAAAAAAAATGGAAAACTCTTGCATGGAAAAAAACTGTGACAAAGAATATCCCTTTGTTTCTTCACCTCTTCTTGAAGCCATATTTTTTTCTCTCATAAAAAAGGTCAGTCTTCGAGCTGCCGAGGTTCACAATCTTGGGGCAGCCATCCCTCTGTGTAACAATGAAACAGACAGTTCTTCAGAAACTTAACGTAATAGAAAGAATGCATGTAAAAACACAATTACATTTGACGTTTTATTCAACATGAGATTAAACAACAACCCAAGTAGTGAAAAAAGGAAAATATGGTTACACGTCACTGATACTGGGCAACATAGGCTTAGCATCAGCCAGTCAAACAATACTTAAGCAGAGCCAAATGTAGATTTACTCACGTCTTTCTCCTGGATGGTGCACTCTTTGCAGTAGTAGGCATCAGATACTCCAGGACCTCCACAAATGACACAGCGCCCTTGGTAAGACCCATAGTTGCATTCGTCACAAATACGAACTAGTGTACAAGGCCTGACGTAAGAGTCACAGATAACGCATTTGCCATCACCTTAAAAAGAAAAGAAACACATTTGTCGAGTTAAAGAGCGCAACAATGAAGAAGAACCATTCTTATCAAACAGAATTGCTGCATATATGTATCACTTAACAGCCTTGAAGCTCATGGCAGTTCTATTTTTTATAACACTGTTGACAATCAAATTTCTTTATGGAAAAATATGAATGGATTTATTTATTTTTTTGCTACTGTTGGACACTATTTATTTAGAATGCACATAAAAGTGATTAATTTTCCTTTAACCAAACATCTGTAAAACAAATAAATGTGAAAATGTATTGAATATTTGGGGGGGAATCACTGAAAACATGAGATTTCTTTCTAATAAATAACAAAAAAAAAAGGCCAAGCTTCAAACCAATAAAGTCAAAAACTTACATTTTTCACATAGTCTTCCAATGGCTGCAACGAAAGGAAAGATCAAATTAGATTTAACGTATCAAACTGAAACATTGCAAATGAACAAAACAGCAAAAGGTTTTTAAAATAATGCTGACAATACTGCCCTCCAACTACTGAGGCGCTGTAAACAACCGACCAAGCACGTTTCCATCTGTTGCTAACTTGCTACAATACCAGCGTTTTCTCAAAACAAATATCTGGTTAAGCTGTTAACGGTTACCTAAAGCAATAAATTAATCTCCTCCAATTTTATTTTTAATTTAACTATTCATTCATCTGATTTTAGCGCTAGCAAACATTCTCACTGTATTGTTAGCTATAAATGTGTTCGTTAAACAAATAACAGTTATATTAAATAGGTATTAAACTCTAAATCTAGATCTAATAAACAGAAACCTTACCGACTCCAGCCTGTTTCCTGCAAAAAATCAAATCTGGGTGATGTTTGGCCATTATAAAAGCACGAACACAGACTGCTAGCCAGACACTAGCGGCGATGCAGCGATGACCTCCGAACTTCCTCCTTCTGATGTTTTGGATTGAAGGCTCCGCAACGTCTTCCTGCCACCTACTGGACGCAATAAAACATGATCATAAGTGACAAAATGTCATGCATTACATTTTTAGGGTATAGAGTAGGGTTCGGGTAGAGTTGTTTTTTTAAAGGCAAGTATGTATGTATGTATTAGACCAAATGTGTACTTCTAAAGATATCAGACATGTGTTTCATGGCGAAAGTTTATCCAAACATTGCCAATAAAATTACATTCTCAATAATATAAACTGGAAAAGGTCAGGTGGAGGATTTGTCACAGTGGAGGAGGAAGTGTTCCTCCGTCTAAACTGATCCTGATCTTCATTCATTACAGATTCGCTCTTCTTTAGGTAACCACGTCTTTTTATGTCCAGCTGGTGGTCACTCAGTCTGTACTTCATCAGTAAATGTCTGTGTGTTATATTCCTGACTGAGACCAGATAGTCAGCCAGACTGCACTCTCTGTTGAGTTTCAAATAACACTGGAGACGACTTTGGTCTTTGGTTTGTTCTTTCCAGTGCTGTATGTATGTCTCCTTCTCTTCATTCATAATTTCTTTGATTCTTCTATGTTTTTCAGGGTTGGCGATATCGAGTGCTTTGTTAGTCAGATCTGACACCATTACACAAAGATGACTTTTTTGAGCACTCTTTTTTTGTGTGTTTTTAGTGCTTTAAAATGAAGATAATCTTCAGAACTATAGTTTAAGTGGATCCAGAACTTTAAAACTCATTTTTTAATGATTCGATTTAGGGGGAGACGGCCTAACTCCGCTCTGCAGGCATTATTAGGCGTGTTTCTGTGGACATGAAGGATGCTTCTGCAGAACTCTACATGCAGAGCTTGTAAAGGGTGTTTGTGCCAACACTTATGGGTGTAGTTACTCGTTGGGCCCCAGATCTCGCTTCCATACAGGGTAATAGGCAGTATGACACTATCGAAAATCTTTGTCCAAATTCTGATGGGGATGTTTATTTTGAATAATTCTCTCTCTCTGGGTGTGTTTGTGTGCGACAGTGCGAGTGATGTGTATGTGTTTGTGTGCATCAATTAAAGCAGCGCATTAATATGGAACGGTGATTAAACTGACTTGGAACTACCTGTGCATTAAATGATTTTACTGCATACCTGCCAGCCAATCAGAATCCAGTATTCAGACAGACCATGGGATAACTAATGTTAACAAATGGAACCTTACTGTAAAGCGTTATTTAATATATTATGAATCTGTGCTCGGAGTTATATATATTTTTTACCTTTTTATATAAATGTTTGTATATTGTAATGTTTGTATATTGTATGAAATTGTTGTTTGTATATTATATTAGCTAAGATGCGTAGTCTACTGTTGCCTGCTATTGTATAGCTTTTATGGTATAAAGATATAATTATATCCAATTAAAGCAATAAGCCCCAAAAAGCAGAGTGCATAAAACCCCCTTAGCTGTTATAAATTCACTGTAAACCACGGCTTCATGGGGCTTATTGCTTTTGATTAAACTGACTTGGAACTACCTGTGCATTAAATGATTTTACTGCATACCTGCCAGCCAATCAGAATCCAGTATTCAGACAGACCATGGGATAACTAATGTTAACAAATGGAACCTTACTGTAAAGCGTTATTTAATATATTATGAATCTGTGCTCGGAGTTATATATATTTTTTACCTTTTTATATAAATGTTTGTATATTGTAATGTTTGTATATTGTATGAAATTGTTGTTTGTATATTATATTAGCTAAGATGCGTAGTCTACTGTTGCCTGCTATTGTATAGCTTTTATGGTATAAAGATATAATTATATCCAATTAAAGCAATAAGCCCCAAAAAGCAGAGTGCATAAAACCCCCTTAGCTGTTATAAATTCACTGTAAACCACGGCTTCATGGGGCTTATTGCTTTTATAAAACGGTTGTTCCATATACGTAGTAAGGTTTCACAAAATAAAACCGAGCAAATAAAGTGTAATGACATTAATAAAAACAGTATTCTTCCACCAAATAATGTAGTTCCTCAGAATCGGTTGTGGTTGCAACAAAGTGTAAACGCAAATGTAAACAAAGGTGTATATTTGTAGCAGAGCCGTTGAGCTGCGTCCGAAAGCCTTGGCAGATGACTTGCTGCCTCGCTGCCTTATGAGGCAATGACTTTGCAGACAGCGTTTTTGCATGAAGGCACCTCATGAAACTGATTTCAGACAGGCTTCTGAGGCAGCGTAACGGTTTAATGATCTACAACAAAATAGAACGAGTTTTGATGATAACTAAATGAATATTTAAGAAATAACATCAAAAGTGCAAAAAGTTAGTCATAAACATACATTTAAACACAAACTGACCACCAAACGCAATTTTCAGACACCATCTTTATTTTTTTATCTCAACCGTCATGGAATGGAACTCACAGGATTGTGGGATATCAAAGGCAGCGAAGGATACATCTATGCTGCCTTCAAAATTCGATCAGAAGAAGGTACCTCCACAGGAAGTGAAGCAGAATTTGTATTCGGACGTGCCTTGAT